ACACTATAAATACCCTTCCTTATGACCCTGCCATACCACCATTGGGTATGTACTCAAAGGAAATTATATCAACATACCAAGAAAATACCTGACTGTCTGTGTATATTGTAGCAATGTTCACAATAGCCAAATGATAGAATTGGTCAAGATGCCCAACAACACATGAATGGATAAAGGTGCGGCATATATACATATGTATACATATACATCTATACATACACACAAATACATATATATGTATACACACACTTACACACAAATACTTGCATATACATATTCAGATATGTGTATGCATATATACATATACATCTTAATATATTCAAAGTGCTAATATTCTGGGCAGAAATCTATTTCAGAGGCATTAAATTAGTGCATATTATGTTACTTCACTTAAAAAATGTCAGTTACCATGGCCCCCTACAATCTCTTATTCATTTTTGTATTATACCACATTTTTAAAATTTTACTCTTTTCTTAATACATTCTCTTTTTTTGCCCTGATATATGCTGTGATGTCTATATCAGGGTCTGCTTGGGTGGTACAACTAGTGAGATCAGAGGTGTATCTTGATATACTGCTGAACAGGGTCTGATGAGTGACTCAGTTTTGAAGATCTGGGCCTGCAGTGGTGGCAAGGGCTAAGGATTGGTATGTGACCTAGATGAACTTCTCCAGAGAATGGGATAAGACAAACTGGCTCAGATTGGAGTTCCAGGCCTTCCAAGGTACCCTTGCCCAAGATACCAAGGTGGGACCCAGATGCACTGTTGCTTAGAATGGGGCCAGGTAATGTGACTCAGGTGCAGAAATTTTGGCCTTCATGTGTAGTAAAGCAACACACATCATGTTTGGACCCAGATGCACTACTCTACAGAACTGGGCCCCATTGAGTGGCCCTACTGCAGGGATCTTGGCTTGCACAGGTGATATGTCCATAGCAATCAGGTGCCAAACAGTGATGCACTGCTATGGTGAACTTAGTTTTGTACAGCTTGCCATGTTCCAGTGCTTCTAGATTGGCAAGAATCTGGACATGAGAACTTGCTATGGTGAACCAGTGGTTCAGATTATGGCTTGCCTAATGGGATCAATTTTATCAGAAGAGGACATTAATACCGTGTTGTGGGAAACTAGCCAGGAAAAGTATTCCATTTTTGGAGATAAGGGCCAGCCTAGATGGCTTGGACCCCAGCATCAATATGGGACTAAGATGCACTGTCAAAGAGAACAGGGCAAATATTGGTACCCAGTTAGAGAGATCTGATCCTCAGGTGTAGTACAGTGTGGAACATCATATTGAGACACAGATGCACTGCTCCAGAGAACCAGGTCTGGAAAATTTGCCCATCTACAGAGATCCAGGCCCAAGTGAACTGGCTCCAATCATTAGTGTGCTGCCCAGTAAACAGCTGTGGAGAAAGTTTCCTGACAAATGGCCCAACTGCAGTTATCTGGGCCTGAAGATGGAGTGCAAGACTGAACATCAGTTTGAGACTCAGATTAACTGCTCTAAACTAAAGGAGAAAGAGAGAGTGAATGAGAGAGACAGAGAGAGACAGAGAGAGCCAGGAACAGAGATAGATAGAGACAGAGAAGGAGGCAAGACTGTGGGAGAGAAACAGACAGAGAGACATAGAGATAGACGCTGTTTTCCAGCTGAGATATTATTATTCAGCCTCCATATGAGGGTCTTCATTTTCTGCTTCAGGTTGAAGCCTTCAAAGTAAAAGGCATCAACTTCAGTTCATCACTATAGAAATTTTTAAACACAGATATAGGCCAGTGACAAGTTCCTCATGATAAGGTCCAAGTTGCAATTTAGGTCCAGGAAACTCAGAAATAACAACCATGAGATTATAAACTCCTTCTGAAAAAATGCAGAGAGAATGGATACTTGAGGAAATGTTGACAGATAACATTTATAGAAAGGTGACAATGGGATATTAGTCTGGAAACTGATATTGTAAAAGGGTCTCTCGTATCTCTCTTGAAGCAGGGCCATTTCCAAGATCTGTCAAAATACAGTGCCAAGAGGAAGTGGATCTGTGGTTTAAGTGGTGGAGCGTTAGCCTTGAGCACAAAGAGACTCAGGGACAGTGCCCAGGCCCTGAGATGAAGCCCTATGACTGGCAAAACAAAAACAAAAAAGTTCATAAAAATACAGTGCCAAGAGGTCCATAATCAGCACTTAGTTTTATGCTTTACTGTGGTGAAATTATTCACAAGTATTTTAAGCAATGCGTCCTCACCTGTACTGGGCCCTAGGGTTGATGTGTCCTATCTTGTGTAGTGAAAAAATACTGACAGCATAAAAATAGGCATTGATCATTTCACAGCTAAGGAAGAAAATCCTTAAACATTAACCAAATGAGATACATTAAAGGATGATTATGACAGAATTTTTAAAATGGTTCCAAACCTTTACCCAGTTTTCGCCTCCTTCATATATGTCCTTTTGGCTTCTCTCACAAATGGTGGAGCTTATTCTTGAAGAGGTGCTACTCATGTGGCCAATGGATTTGCAAAGTGCTTATACATCTGAGATTGCCCACTGCTGTTTACCTTGACACTTCCCATGGCTCCCATGTGAAGTATCCTGGCCTAGTCTGTTAAAGGAAAAGATATACATGACTGAATTTTCCAAAAGGGCCAAGTAACTTCAGGAAGAATCTTCGGACTAGTCAACCACCTACAAACAATCTATGAGCTTATCTATGAATGAGCACACTGAGACCAACACAGACTCAAAGAACTATGAGCTAAATTCATCAGTATGTATTAAGGTGCTAAGGTTTAGAGTGAATCTATTAACATAGAAATAGTTTATTGATATAATCCCACTGTAGCTACAACCTGCACATCACCTCATTGATCATCCACACCGCAAGTATCATTATGCCAAAATATCATGGTCTCCATACTGTGCACTGGGTGAACAACCTTATCTTGGCTTAATCTATCCCTCCACCATGAATCTCTTTTAGTGATCATCGTAGGATGAATAATGGCTCCTCTACCTGGCACTTGTCCAGAGAATTTGGGCCACATTTCACTTTCAGAATTACTGCTATCTTCCTTGTCCCACACAGTTTATTGAATTTTAGTTAATAGACACACAATAAGGATTGGTGATAGGACCAACTGCAGTTTGCAAAATGACTACAGAGAGAACTCATTTTCCCTAAGCAAAACAAAATATAAAACACCAAAAAACAAAGAAACAAAAAACAAACAAGCCACAGTTTTCTCGCTTCTCTCATTCTGAAAGGTTCCAAGTATGAGAATAATATATAGAAAAGAGGAAAGTACTTCAAAAGTCCTTGAAAAGCATATCTATGGGAGAAAATAACGAACATGAGACACAGAAAGGAAGAAATTTTCTGAAAAAAAATGGAGGATTTGCAGATGGGAGGAAAATAGACTATGTGAGGACAAACAGTATCAAAACATTACATCTGTAAATAGAGATGGCAAACCTGAATTCGCTTGAAAGCTGATGTATAATAGAGGTTGGGCAATTGGGACAAGTTAGAGTAGGTGAGGATGTCTGATTAAAGTATGCTGTGTAAATGTATAGAATACTGTGATGAATACCATGATATGATGAAGTCCCTAGGAACAAGTGATAGACACTTTAACAAAAATAAACTTTAGGAAGTTCAAGATGTTGTGTCTTCAGTATGGGCATTAGTGAAGGAATGGAGGGATGGAGATGGGGAAAGAAGGAGAATAAAGTCAAAATCCTACATGTATATGTGTGAAAATGGAACAGTGTACATTATTGAGATTTGTTTGGGAGCAGTATAGGAGGAGAGCGACAGAAGGGCTGATTCTGATCAAGGTACATCTTATTCATATATGGACAAGTGACAAATGAAATCACTGTACACCTATTTGAACACATTAAAAATAATTTTAGGGGCTGGGAAGGTGGCTCAGTGGTAGAGGGCTTGCCTTGTATGCATGAGGCTCTGGGTTTGATTCCTCAACACCACACAAGCAGAAAAAATAAAGCCGGAAGTGGCTCTGTGGCTCAAGTGGTAGAGCGGTAGCCTTGAGCTGAAGAGCTGAGGGACAGCGTCCAGGCCCAGAGGTCAGGCCCTTGACTGGACCAAAAAAAAACAATAATAATTTTAAACAGGTCAACAGTGTTGGCTGTTTATAGTCCTAGCTACTCAAGAGGTTAAGGTCTGAGCATTATGGTTCATTGCAGCCCCAGCAGCTTAACATGTAATATTTAAGAAATTAAAATTGTCAGTTGTATATGTCCTAAGAATAAATACTCAAAAACATATATTCATATGAATCTTTTATTATATGCTCATATAAAGTATGTTTTATTACAGAATTTGTTATATAATTGTTAAGAAATACACAAATGTACATAGATTGAAAAACCCAAGATCAAAGTTTGGTGTATACTGTCCAGGTCTTCTTTGATTACACTACAAATAGCAACATCAATATTTGATTTAAAATTTCATATTAATTTATTCACATCTTTTCATAATAGATTTTTGTTCTATAGAATTATATATGATATGAAATATATTAAGCCACGGAGATCAGTTAACCAATTCAATATTATTTCCTATTTAGGACCTTCTCCATTTTTCTCTTTAAACATTATTAGACAATCTCTGACTATAACCTTTGCACAGGAGGATTAAGTCAAAGGAAACACACATTTTTTAGGCTTTCCACACACAGAATATATGAAAAAGTAGGATCCAGCAAAGTGATACAATTCACACTGCAACCAGAACAAAAGGAAATAAGATAGGAAAAAATCTAGCTATTTTTCATATGTAAACTTAAACATTACATGTTTATCCAGCTGTTTAATTAATTTCACTTTAGTAAGAACACTGAAAAGGAAAACGAAGCAGGGTGCAGGGCTCTGTGGTGCTGTGAGGTCAGATAAGGAGGAGGAACAGAAGAGGGTACCACCTTTCCCTCCAGGACAGATGGCTGCCCTCACAAACCTTGTGACATTCTGCTAGTTCAAGGCTGGGATGAAATACTTGACAGAGTAGATTTCAAAAAGGAATTCAAAATAAGAAATTCTGTTCCTCACCATATCTGCAGAAAAGAAAAATTCACTAATTTAAAGACCCATTGTAACACACATATATGAATCCCACCCATCAGAACAGAATTGTCACCCTGGAACCATCCTGTAATAAGTATTTTGCTTGGTCACTGAATAATTCACATGAACAGAGAACTACCAACTACCAGAGGAAAGAATGTGAGAAAAGGACTGAAGCAGCCAAAGCCCTATAGAAAACCTAGAAAACAAGCTCCCTGGAAAAACGCATTTCCTCATATCTATTCTTTGCCAGTGCAAGATGGAAGTGTACAGAGAAGAGTGCAGTGCACCTGAGACCTTGCATATAGGCACATGCCCATCTAACACTGCCCAAGTCCTGACATCATGGCCCTTCCCTGGTCTCTCCTCTCTGTTCCCTTCCATGATTATATATATACATATATATGTGTAAATATATTGTACAGAGTGGTTAGAGTTACATGAGTAAAGTAATGAGTACATTTCCTTTTGAACATTGTTACCCCCTCCTTTGTTTTTCCCCTACCATCCCTTCCTTCCCCACCTCCCCACCTCCTCCCTCCCTCCCCGAAATTGTTGAGTTTGTTTTTAACGTAATGTCTTGTACATCTCATTGTTACAATGGGTCAGCCTGTATCCTTACTTCAGTATTTTGTTATTTCCCTTCCCCTCCCCAAATTAGAAAAATGTATATACAAGATGAGGGTACCAGAATTACATACAGTGAAAAAAGGGGTTATACCAATAGGGAAGAACATACAAAAGAAACAAAAGAGAACACATAGTACATTATAAATACATTTAAAAACAATAGTAACAAAGATAAACCATCTTGTGTCTCTGTCTTAAGGTTCATTTTCCTTAGCACCATCTTATATGGTCATATGTGAATAGCTTTTGACCTTTTCTACTCGTCTGGTAAGGAGATCCTAGATGTATACTAGTTATTACAAATAAGGGAAACCATGGGACCTATGTTTCTTTGGGTCTGGCTTACTTCACTTAGTATATTTTTTTCAAGTCTTTCTCTTTGTCTCTCTCTTATAGAAAGGCTGGTAGTTCAGAAAGCCAACAAGATTCTCCTTTTACTCCATGGTGTACTAAAGTACTGAGGTGCAATTTCAGACCATTCTCCTCAGCTTGGCTCACTGATGAGTACAAAATTAGCTGCAGAGCCACCCCACAGAGAGAGGACATCAAAATACTTGGTCAGTTTCCTTCTGGTTGCATGGGCTTTGGAGAAAGAGACTAAAAGCACCTTGAAAAGCTCCTGACAAGATGCTTTGCTCAAGGGTAGTCTGTAGATGACAAGGCCAGGGCATGACCTCATATTAGTGAGCAAGTCAGACTTGAGTTACAAGCTTTATGAATCAGAATCCAAATAGGAGATTTAGGTAGTAAGCTCAGGCCAGATGTGAATAAAAATAAATAAGACCACAAAAGCAGAATCTCAGACCTAAGCAAAATTTTGAATCTGAGTGTGCAGAATCTGACAAATGTAGGGAGCATGGATGGTCTAGCTCTCCTCTTCACAGTGTCTCTGAAGGCAGAGCTAAATCCCCATAGTGAAGTGAGGCAGCTCCCTGACAACCAGGGGTAGTGGCAAGTGCCTCTCAATTACTTATCAAGCACCCCAAGTTTGTGCTCTGTTGCAATGTCTAAGCACTTCTGAATCCAGAAAACTTTGCAAGACTGCTCAAGAAAGATGTGGTACTCAAATCATCTTATTTTGCATTTACAAGTCTCAATGCAATATTTGACTATTGGAAACGTCTCTGATATATACAAAAGAATACAGTGAAGCAAACTTACTGAATGTAGCCTTTGTAGGATTATCTTGCACTCCTCCAAGGAAATGGAGTAGCTGATAGACATTTATGTGCATCTCAGCCTTCTCTTCTGGTTGTCTGTCTTCAGAAGCATTTTCAGGAACTGAGTAATATAAGTGATTTTAAGCAATTCTCTTTATATAACAAGAAGCCCAGAGAGACAACACACATTTATCTAAATAACTAATTGACCTCACTTTTTCCTTTATAACCCTGGTTCCTGGGGTTGTAAATGAGTTTGTAAATGTCATCAGTCATTAAATACATATTTGTTATATTCTAGGTAATTACAATTGTGTGGTGTTTCCAATGGATCTTTCACTTAAAATAGACCTCAAATTCATCTACTGGGACTTGAAAAAGGCCTCAATTTCATCTATAGAACAAAGAAAATTGTACTTGGTAATCCCTATGGCTTTATATGCTAACATATACATAGCTAAGACAAGACTTCTCATACATAACTAGAATGGAAAAAGAAATTGGCCTTTCAACGTCTGGTAAAGAAACAGAATAGCCGGGCACCGGTGGCTCACACCTGTAATCCTAGCTACACAGGAGGCTGAGATCTCAGGATTACGGTTCAAAGCCAGCCCAGGCAGGAAAGTCCATGAGACTCTCATCTCCAATAAACTACTAGTAAACTGGAAGTGACGCTGTGACTCAAGTGGTAGAGCGCTCGCCTTGAACTGAAGAGCACAAGGACAGCGCCCAAGCCCAGAGTTCAAGCTCTACAACCGACAAAAATAAAGAAAGAAAGAAACAGAATAAAGTCTCACTTTCTGTTCATTAAAACTATCAAAATGAGCTGGGCACTGGTGGCTCATGCCTGTATTTCTAGCTTTCAGGAGGCTGCAATCTTTGAACTTCAAAGCCAGCCCAGGCATAAAATCCCCTGTGAGACTCTTTTCTCCAACCACCAGAAACCAGAAGAGGTACTGTGACTCAAAGTAGTAGAGAACCGGCCCTGAACATGAAATCTTAGGGACAGTGCCCTGGCCCTGAATTCAAGACCATGACTGACAAAAACATAATAATTAAATAAAAATAAACCATAAGAAATACTTACCTAAACGAGGATTTCCAAGATCTTGAAAATAAGTGGTAACACTTACTAATTCATTTTCCATCTTCAGGTTCAATTCTCCATTTTGGTTTGCTTCAATAATCTAGAAATTAAGTATTATAAAAGGGTCTTAAAATAAAAAAGAAACACAAAATAGAAAAATATATGGATCAGTCTCCTCAAGCCAATTGAAAAGGTACTCCTGTCAGACCTACAACCCTCAGAAGCCACCAAGATAGAGCTGTGTCAAGAAGAAAGGGAAGATAACACATGGAAACTCGCAACTCAGAAATCTCTCAAATCCAACACAGGCAGAGAGAATGTTCCCAGTGCAAAACTCAGCAGAAAAATGTGAACCACAGGAGTGGAAGGCTTCTTCCTTGGAGACTGTGAGACAGATGAGTGCTCTGTAGGCATGGGCAGAGTGATCAGAGCTCCCTTATACCATGAGGCACTGCTTAGGCACAGAGCCAAGAAAGGGTGCCCAGTGAGCAGGCCAGATACACTTGGAGTTCAGGGAAGGATGGTTACAAAAAGGGAAAAGAAATAATGATTCTTCAAAAGTGCCAGTTAGGTGACTCCAAAAGATTCTGAGTGCCTTTATAATTGGTGTATTCACAGTGTAAAGAAATTATGAAGCTAAAAATTTATCTTGGTCCATTACCAAATCGACAATGAAACCACCTTCTAATAGTTCTTAAAAATGTCAATAATGAGAAGTGGCGCTGTGGCTCAAGCGGTAGAGCGTTAGCCTTGAGCTGAAGAACTGAGGGACAGCGCCAAGGCTCAGAGTTCAAGCCCCACCACCGACAAAAAAAAAAGTCAGTAATGGACTGTGACTGAATCATATCAAAAAGTACTCTGGAAAAAAGTAAACACAATAACAGTACCAACAACACACTCTGAAATCTTTGAACATTCTATACACAAACGTAGAGTATTATTTCTAGAAGACCACCAAACTATCTGTGACAGTTATACATTTAACACAAAGTCAGTTATTTAAAAGTGTACTTTTGTGTTGGAAAATTATATTTCCAGGTTCAGAAATACCTCAGGTGCTCTCTGGATGGAGCAGCTTCAGTGTTTTCCCCTCCCAGTTCCAGTGGGCACAGTACAGTTGGGGAGGAAAGTGAGCCACCATGTCTCCCTCACTTCTCCCCAATAAGTATCCTCTCTTCATCCCTGGATCTTTGGCATCCTCTGGGAGCTATTCAGAGCAGGACCTGGGGCTGAGCCCCACACCTTTGGTATAGCACAAACACCTTCACCTACAGAGAAGCTGCCTCCATGTAAAAACAACCCATGCAAGCTAGACCTCAGTCAATGCTCTTTCCTTTTCTTCATAACATACAAGGTAATTGCTGACATGTTTCATTTTTTCTACAACATTCTTCAGAGTCTTCAAGATGGGCAAGTAAATGCTAACCTATAATATAAAGACAAGAAATCACCAGTATTAAAAAGTATTAATATATTCTAGAAATGACATTGCAAAATCTGTATTCTAAATTTCTGGATTACAATTTTTTGAATAAAGTTCTTTTTAATATATGAAAAGTACTTTTGTAATTTTAATAGCTCACTAATGATCAAGCATAATTTAAAAAATTGTCTTTGTGGTGATCTATGCAATCCCAAACCAAAGGCATCCTTTTGATTTAATATGGGCTACAGCATTTCAGATGTGATGCTCACACACAAATCTAGGAGAAATGAGTCCAAGTACTAACCAGAAAGTCTTCTTCTGAGAAGATTTATAGATAGAACCTTTATTCACACTCAGTTCAAAAATACAGTGAGCAATTATTGCAATTAACCTGGGGATATATTACTAAAACTGCTTTATAAATTGCTGGCTTTTGAGCCAGCCACTGATGTCTCATAATGCTAATCCTAAATATCTAGAAGGCTCAGGTCTGAGAATTTCAGTTCTAAGTCACACAAGGGAAATGGCTATGTAGATGTCTTCTTCTACTGAAAGTCAAATAAATGTTTTATTCGCTGCATAATTTTCATTTCCTCTTAAACAAATTGTGAGCAAAGCCAGAAGACCTTTTAGCATGATATTCATTTCAGTAGCCTTGTTTTCCCTAAGCAAGACATGTAACCCTAAGTTGGTCATCATAATGATATTCCTGACATAGAGTCCAATGAATCCCAAATTGCTTCCTAGGCCTAGCTTATTAAGAAAGGTGTTTCATCTTGTATGGGTCAGGATCATGAAATTTCTATTCTATATAACAGTGTTTAAAGATAATCTACATAAATAACAAAAGACAAATAGTCAATTTTCTTTTCCTAGAGTATCCTTTAAATATAAATATTTTATTATCAGAAACTATTTTCAATAAAATATTCTGCAAGACTACAGATAAAGGATTCATATCTTCTATTCAATGACATTAAACAACAAGACTGCAAGTATCACTTACATCCAAGTTTGGAACTATGGGTTCCTGTAGTTTGTTCCATAAATGTGTTGGAATAACCTCTATGGGGAAGTAATATGTCATTATGCAACTCCTGTTTGACTCACATAACTGCAAAGAAAAGATTTTGCTATTGTCAATATTGTAACAAAACCAAAACCAATGAACTGAGGGCAAAACCATTGAAATACCAAGTCTAATTGTAATGTTCTCAATTTACTTATTCAGAATCTACCCAACACATATTGATGTTTTCCTGTTTCCCTCTGGGACCAAAGGAGCTGAAAAATGTAGTGACTAAGAAAAAAAACTCCTGGACGTCCCAGTGGAATGAAAGAAATAGTAATAAACAGATGAAATTGTATGAGACACTCATTAGAGCCTTGAATAAAACACAGTAGGCTGAGGGAGGAAGTAGCTGCTACTGCATGAGAATAGGGATGAACTATGCAAATACATGACACAGGAACTAGAGATGCAGAGAGTTATGGGAAAATGGGGATTGGCTAAGCGTGGGAATGGCATACAAATCTGTGAGATGGAAAAGCAAATATACTATACTGAAGAAAACCCAGATACCAGGTTTGTGAAATTGATCTTTAGCATGATGGTTTCTAAACTACTGAAAGGATAAACTATGCTTATTTGTTTCTATGATTTGTTTCTAGGCTCACAGACCAACATACATTATACTTTACAGAGCAAAAGATTCTACCACCAGACAGGCGCTAGTGGCTCATGCCTGTAATTCTAGCTACTCAGGAGGCTGAGATCTGAGGATCGTGGTTCAAAGCCAGTCCAAACAGGAAAGTCGTGAGACTCTTATCTCCAATAAACCACTAGAAAACTGGAAGTGGCACTGTGGCTCAAGCAGTAGAGCACTGGCCTTGAGCTGAAGAGCTGAGGGACAGCCCAAGCCCAGAGTTCAAGCCCCATGACCAACCAAAAAAAAAAAAAAAAAGATTCTACCACCTTGCTTCTCCTTAAAAAATTAAATTTTTTTCTAAGAACTTTCTTCATGTAAAGAATTCAGAAAAGGGGCTGGGAAGGTGGCTCAGTGGTAGAGTGCATGCCTTGCATGCATGAGGCCCTGGGTTCGATTCCTCAGCACCACATAAGCAAAAAGAAAAAGCCGGAAGTGGCACTGTGGCTCAAGTGGTAGAGCGCTAGCCTTGAGCTGAAGAGCTGAGGGACAGCGCCCAGGCCCAGAGTTCAGGCCCCATGACCTGACCCAAAAAAATAAAAAGAATTTAGGAAAAATAACGAGGAGTCCTTTTTCACAAATATCTTAAGGCCACATGAAATACTTATGAATTAAATACATTGACTATGTAAGCAACAATTATAAAGGTTACAGAGGCTTTAAAGAGAGGGTTTGGGAATTTGTTAGTTTGGGAACTGAGTGAAAATGGATCTCATAAACACTGAAAAGGTGTTCATTTTGGATTTGGTTCTATTTTAGATTGGGCCATACACAGAAGGCTTTAATCATCATGTTAATAAATATGAACTTCCTCAGGACAGGTATTAATATGTTTCTTCTGTATCCTCAGATTTTGTGGATTAGTATACATTTATGTATTTAACATCCATACACATTTTTACATAAATAGTGAGTTAATATGGATGTTGACTTGGCACTTTTATTATTTAACTATATACAGATTTTAAAAAATTAATTCTAGAATGAGCTTCATTAAAAATTTATATCCACATCTAATAACTCAGAATATACACTTACAAAGATTCTAGATCATCTTACTCTCAAGATACTTTAAGGCAAAGAAATGAAATATTTTCAATGTTTCATTCAAGCATTTAAAAATATTTTTCACTGAGGAGTTCGGAGGAAGATGGTGGAGGAGAAGCTGGAGGCTCAACAAGCTCTTGCATAGAAAGCAGTTTTAGTGTTCCGGTGAACAATCCCAGGCCAAAGAATCACACCAAGTGTGTCATCACAGTACAGAGAGTTTGGCCAGAGAGGGAAAATCCAGTAAAGGAGACATATCTGAGCACTTGCAGGTAGCCATGGCTTGTGGTGGCTGCGGCAGCAGCAGCAACAGCCATAGCCGCCATACCTACAACAGAAATAGTCCAAGAAAAAGATGCCAGACACAGCGGGTGAGCAGATTATACTCAACACCAGCAAGAACTGACAAGGAGCAGATATCTTCATCTAGAAGATCGCAGACCAGAGATGGCCCAGGAACCAAGACTCTGGCATGAGTAGAACCCTGACATCCTCACTCCTTCTCAGGGAGCACAGGAGGGAAGGCTGCCCCTCCCCCACCACCAGAGCTCTCAATATTGGATACTGACTGAACCCAGCCTCATCACAGCATCTCCAAACTAGAGGAAACAGCCATCTCCCTCTTTTGTGATACTCAAAGCAGATCTCCCTCCCACTGAACTAACCTGGAAGAAGGATCACAAAATCCTGGGTAATGCAGAGCATTTTTCTGCCTGCTCAAACAAACTGACTTAAGAAACCAATCAAGCCACAGGAAAACCAAACACCACAAGCAGACCAGACACTCCAAGAGATTGGCTACAGACACAGGGGAGATACAGGATCTTCCCATTCTCTTCACCTCCCCCCCACCAAAAAAAAATCAAAGAACTCTTTTTTGTACCTTTCTAAATTTTTTTTGGGGGGGTCCAGTCATGGGGCCTGAACTCTGGGCCTGGGCGCTGTCCCTCAACTCTTCAGCTCAAGGCTAGCGCTCTACCACTTGAGCCACAGCGCCACTTCTGGCTTTTTTTTTGCTTATGTGGTGCTGAGGAATCGAACCCAGGGCCTCAGGCATGCAAGGCAAGCGCTCTACCACTGAGCCACCTTCCCAGCCCCCTTTCTAAATTTTTTAAAAATTGTTTTCAATTAATCTTTTTTTCCCTCTCAATTTTTATTTTAGCTGTATGTGTGTGTGTGTGTGTGTGTGTGTGTGTGTGTGTGTGTGTGTGTGTGTGCTTTTGTTTTAAGTCTCTTCTGACCTTTTGTTCCTTTTTATAAATTCTTTTTATTTTTTCTCCACATACAGCTCCCCTATGACCCAGCAATCCTACTTTTGGGCATTTACCCAAATGATCACAAACAAGACCATACTAAAGCTACCAGCATAAATATGTTTATTGCAGCATTATTTACCATAGCTAAGATATGGAACCAATCCAGATGTCCCTCAGTAGATGAATGGATCAAGAAAATATGGTATATATACACAATGGAATTCTATGCCTCCATCAGACAAAATGACATTGCCCCATTTGTTAGGAAATGGAAAGACTTGGAAAAAATTATATTAAGTGAAGTAAGCCAGGCCCAAAGAAACATAGGTCCCGTGGTTTCAATTATTTGCAATAACTAGTGTATGTCTGATATAAGCAGAGAGGTCAGATAAGTTGATGTTAGGTGAAATGAACCACAAGATAAGGATTCAAATGTTTTTTCTTTCTTGTGATTGCTTCTAACATATTTATAAGATATTCTTTGTTGCTTTGTATGTCCCTCCCCCATGGTATAACCCCTGCTTTCATTGTATTTTATATTGGTATAATTTGTGGAAGGGAAGGGAAAAAACAAATTGTTTAAATAGAGATACAGGTGGACCAATTGCAACAATGAGATGAACAAGATGTTATGTAGAAAAACGAACTTTACAACTTTGGCTGGGGAGGGAGGGGGGAGGTGAAATGGGAAAGGGTGGGAAGGAGAAACAAAGGAAGAGGCAAGAATGCTTGATAAGAAATGTACTCATTACCTTGCCCATGTAATTGTAACCCCTCCGTATTGTATTTTCACAATAAAAATATATTTTTTCACTGATACTTTAGTAATTTATTTTTTGATGGGAGAGTATATAGTTGTAAATGTTAGCTTAGAAGATATTATAGTTCCACTATTACTTTCAAATAGTTTTAGGAATTATTCATTGCTAGTTAACTTTTACAATACACATAAACATTATTATAAAATCATTGCAAGAACAGCAAGTCTATTATTTTGTTAACATACATGCTAAAATTAGAAAGATATACCAACTTCAGTCTGGGTGTATAGCCTGTTTGAATGTGCATTGTGTGTGTACATGCGGGTGTGTACACGTGCGTGTGTATGTGCATGCATGCCTCTTCAGTTCACACATGGCTAGGGGAGTACCCATCAGCTCTAAGGAGAAATGTGACCTCAACTCATCTGGCATATAAAGAAAAAATTCAACTGAAGACTGATTACATAAAGGCAGATGAGGCAGGAACAAGAAACATCAGAAGTGAGACAGGAATGGTTTTCTACTATTAAAAGAAACAGAGGTGCTAGAAGTTTTACTATTTAGAAAGGGCAGCATCCTAGGTGAATATTTGTGATCATATTTTAAAATAAGAAGAATGAACAACAAACTCTAAGAAAATGTTCATGTAACACATTCTTAATTTAAAAAAATTAGTTTTACATTACAGGATGGAATAGGAGAAACCCTAGGTCTCCTTGGCTCAGGCCAAAATTTTCTGAATAGAGACCCGGAAACACAACAAATCAAAGAAAGGTTGGACAAATGAGATTGCATAAAGTTGCAGAGCTTCTGCATGGCAAAGGACAGAGCTAGCAAGATCAATAGAAAGCCCACAGATTGGGAGAAGATCTTTACTAGCCATACAACGGACAAGGGTCTCATATCTAAAATATACTTGGAACTCAAAAAATTAAATCCCCCAACAACAAATCCTCAAAGAAACAACTGCCCAATAAATAAGTGGGCGAAAGACTTAAAGAGAAACTTCTCTGAAGAAGAAAGAAGGATGGCCAATAGACACATGAAGAAATGCTCAACCTCCCTAGCCATAAAAGAAATGCAAATCAAAACAATATTGAGATACCACCTCACTCCAGTTAGAATGGCAAAAATCAAGAACTCTAACAACAACAGATGCTGGAGGGGATGTGGACAGAAGGGAACCTTACTTCATTGTTGGTGGGAATGTAAACTTGTTCAACCACTTTGGAAAGCAGTATGGAGGTTCCGCAAAAGACTCCACATAGAACTCCCCTATGACCCAGCAATCCTACTTTTGGGCATTTACCCAAATGTTTACAAACAAGATCACACTAAAGCTACCAGCACAACTATGTTTATTGCAGCATTATTTACCATAGCTAAGATCTTGAACCAACCCAGATGCCCCTCAGTAGATGAATGGATCAAGAAAATGTGGTATATATACACAATGGAATTCTATGCCTCCATCAGAAAGAATGACATTGCCCCATTTGTTAGGAAATGGAAAAACTTGGAAAAAATTATATTAAGTGAAGTAAGCCAGGCCCAAAGAAACATAGGCCTCATGGTTTCCCTTATTTGCAATATCTAGTATATGTATGAGTCAAGCGGAAAAGGTCAGATAATGTGATGTTAGGAAAATGAACCCTTAGATATGTAGTTTAATGTTTTTTTCTTTTATGCATGTGTTTCTAAAGCATTTATAAGATTATTTCTTTGTTGCTTTGTATGTCCCTCCCCCACAGTATAACCCCTGCTTTTACTATATTTGATATCAGTATAACTTGTGGAGGAGATGGGGAAAAACAAGTTGTTTAAGGATACAGGTGGACCTGTTGCACCAATGAGAAGTACAAGTTGTCATGTCGAAAACGAGCTTTACAATGTTGGTGGGTGGGGGGGAAGGATTGGGACTGGGAGGGGAGGGGGGAGGCTGGGAAGGGATCTGAAGGATAAACAAAGGAGGAGGCTGCAATGCTTGGTAAGAAATGTCCGCATTATCCTGCCCATGTAATTGTAACCCCTCTGTACAGTATGTTCACAAATAAAATAAAATAAATTTAAAAAATTAGTTTTAAATAATATCATTATAAATCTCAAGCTTTGTAAATCTCAAACTACCTACATTTTTCCCAGACCAAGACCCTTGTAAGAAATTTCAAAAACATTTTTCCTTCTACTCACCAGCTTTATACAGATCTTGAAAATCCCAGAGTATTTATTAATGAACTTGATCTTCAAGATTTCAGTACTATGGGAATTGTTCAAGGCTGGAGTTAGGTTTTCCAATTGTAGTTGTAAATATATCTCATTATATTCTGCAGAGACACCTTTCATTTGAAATTTGCTGAAAAAGTTCTCCTATGGAAAGCAAAGAAGCACATGTGAACGCTCAAGGAAAGTAGGTGGAGCATGAGGATGCTCAGGCTCCTGCTTACCTTCAGAAGCTCACACCACAAGCTTGCCCTTCCACTTTCTTGACTCCCCAAAAGAATGAAGCTCAGTTTATCCGGGCAGATGTGGAGGATGCAGCCTTTGGCGAGTTTAGCTAACATACGGATGACTCCTGTAACAAAGAGTAAAAGAAGTTAATAAATTGCATATTCCCTATTCTAAGGAGCATTTTTTATTTCTTTTTATTTTGTCTTGTATGTAAGTTTATCTGATTTGGGGAGGGGAAGGGAAGCACAGAAACAGTGGGATAAAAGGTGAACTAATTCAGCAGTGATACTCACTACGTACTATCTTGGAAATGCCCTATCAACTTGGAGGGATGGGGGAGGGAGGGAAAAACTGGGAGAAAATGAGGGAAGGGGTGACACTGTTCAAAAAGGAGTGTGCTGGGGCTGGGAAGGTGGCTCAGTGGTAGAGTGCTTGCCTTGCATGCCTGAGGCCCTGGGATCGATTCCTCAGCACCACATAAGCAAAAAGAAAAAAGCTGGAAGTGGTGCTGTGGCTCAAGTGGTACAGTGCTAGCCTTGAGCTGAAGAGCTGAGGGAGAGCTCTCAGGCCCAGAGTTCAGGCCCAGAGTTCAGGCCCCACGACCGGACGACCCCCACAAAAAAGGAGTGTGCTCAATACCTGACATATGTAACTGTAATCCCTCTGTACATCACCTTTACAATAAAATTTTAGGCGGAGCCGGGCGCTGGTGGCTCACACCTGTAATCCTAGCTACTCAGGAGGCTGAGATCTGAGGATCGCGGTTCAAAGCCAGCCCGGGCAGGAAAGACCGTGAGACTCCTATCTCCAATAAGCCACCAGAAAACTGGAAGTGGCGCTGTAGCTCAAGTGGTAGAGTGCTCGCCTTGAGCTGAAGAGCTGAGGGACAGCGCCCAGGCCCAGAGTTCAAGCCCCACGACCGACAAAAAAAAAAATTTTAGGCGGGCATAGGTGGCTTAGCTGAGCACCAGTAATGGTTCATGCCTGTAATCCTAGTTACTCATGAGGCTGAGATCTGAAGATCGTGGTTTGGAGCCAGTCAGGGCAGAAAAGTCCCTTTGAGACTCTTATCTCCAGTTAATCAATCAAAAACCAGAAGTGTCACTGTGGCTCAGAAGCCTTGAGCAAAGAAACTCAGGGTTGGCGCTCAGGCCCTTAGTTCAAGCTCAATAATGGGGAAAAAACAAAAACAAAAACAAAAAACAGACTTGGTGTTCAGCAAGGTGCAGCTTATTATCTCCCTGGAAAATACTTAAATAATTTCCAGGTTATCCAGTGTCTCAATAACCTTTGGAGGCATTTAGCACCTGCTATCCATGCTCATTAAAGAAACTGAGACTCAAGGAAACCTTTAACTGGTAACCATACAGTCCACTTAATGGGCCACTGGATACACAGCAAAACTCTGGAAGAGAGGTTGAACATACAAGTTTCAGCATATGCTAGACTAAGGGAAGAATGGGCTCTACCCATAAAGTGTTGACTACAAAAGATAAAGACTTCTACTGGCATAGTGAGAAAGAAATCACGCAAGAGGAATGGAGTTCCAGAAAATTCCATGGGCATTGTCCTTCATTCCCACAATCTACAACCAGGCTCTAACCATTCATAAGGCTAACCCTGCTCTCCCTCTACCTCCTTCCCACCCTCCTTTGGAACTGAAAGCTATAGGCAGTGGCCTTCCTCCCAGCAGTGCCTGACCAGTCCTCACCTATCCCTAGCACTACCCCTGCCCAGACTCTGCCTCCTTCCGGTCCCCCTGGCTCCAGCAGTTTTCCCTGCTCACTCTTGAAGTGACCCAGAGAATCCTGGTCCACTATCTCAGCCCGGAACCTCATGGCTGCACCCGCCCAAGCTCCACTGTGCTGTGGCTTCGACCCCAGGCAACCAATTGTTGGCCTCTTCGCGTCTCACCGGAAACGTTACCAACCACAAAGGACCACTTCCGCCCAAATGTGTAGTGAGGCTGCGCATGCGCCTTCCCAGCATGCACCACTTCTATTCATTGAGAACAGTTTACGGGTTTTGTTGGGTTTTTGTTTTTGTTTTCACTTCTTGAATATTTAGCAGAATGCGTGTCTTGATTCTGGGAAATCACATTTTGAGAAACATCTCGTAAGTATTTCAACTACGTTCTTAAAGACTTCCAAATACCATCAACAGTTTATAGAGGATTAAACAAAGTAACATTTGAACATGTCTATCCAGAGCAAGAAAACACCTTGCCTGAGTGATTATGTTGGTTGCTAGACAGTGAACCATCTTGTTGAAAATTTTGAAAATTTTTGGAAATGTTAGTAAATTTGGACCATATACTTATTTAAAATGGCATGCATACAGAACCTTGATGTTAAATGATAATTTCTATTCCTTATGAATATTACTAGATATGATATACTTCTTGCTAGCATAAATATTCGGTTCTGAATTTTTTAATTGACAGCTTAATCGAACTATGATATCCAATTTGATTGTCCAAAGACTATATATTTCTATCCAGTTATTGATGGCTCACTCCAGTAATACTACCTACTCAAGAGGGTAAGATCTGAGGATCACACTTCAAAGCCAGCCTTGGCAAAATAGTCAATAAAATCATCTCTCCACCTAACCAGCAAAAAGGTAGAATTGTTGCTGAGGCAACACTACCTTTGAGTGGAGAAAGCTAAGGATTAGTGCTCAAGCCCTGAATTTAAGCCCTAATACCAGAACAAAAGGGCTATTTTCATGTAAATAATGTTTTCTTCCCTTACCTTCTCTTTCCTTCCCTCCCTCCCTCCCTCTCTTCTTCCCTACTTTCCCTTCCTTCCTTCCTTCCTTCCTTCCTTCCTTCCTTCCTTCCTTCCTTCCTTCCTTTCCTTTCCTTTCTTTTCCTTCCTTCTTTCCTCTCTTGTTTCTTCCTCTATCCTCTTTGCTTCTTTTCTTTTCTTCTGTTGTCTTTTCTTTATTTTTTCTGTGTGTATGTTGGACATCAAAGCCTCAGGATGACTGCATGCAAGGCAGGTTCTCTACCATGAAGTTAAATCCACACCGAAGAATTAGTCTCACAGATTTTTGCAAGCAGAAGTCAAGAATCTTATTTTAGCTTGATGTATAGAATGAAGATAAGAGTAAATAATAACAGTGAAGATGGTTGGTGAAATAATGTAGGACTACACAAAGAAGGTAAATCGGTTTCCTTTTTAAAATTTTTGATGACATGTTTAAATCTTGTAATTATCTTTTCTTGATTATATAAATTTGTGTTATTTTTAAGTGATTGTACTAAGGGTCTTCAAATCAACATGTCAGTTTATGAATGTAATGCATCTTGACCAATGTCACCACATTCTTTGTTCTGCCCAGTCTCTCCAAACATTACCTATCAACTCAAGTTTCCTGGATCCATATTCACATATTTGCATCAAATATTATGACTGTATTTAGTTCTGCCTTTCTTTCTCCATTTTTCTGCCACCTCCTCCCTTAACCTCCCCACATCTAGGTCAACATGTTTCAACTTTGCGATATACATTTTGTTTAGATGTAAGTAAATTATTTGAAGAAATTATCCTATTGAAATACTCAACTGTGCTTTAGTAACTATACCTGTGTATATATACATTATGACTGTGAATGCGTTTTCCTAAATTTTTAATTTAGATCTAACATCCACATGAGAGTAAATGTGCACCATTTGTCTTTTTAAGCATGAATTACTTCATTAAAAATAATATTTTTGAGGTCCATTCATATTCTGCAAATGTTACAATATCATTCTTCCTGATGGATGGGTAAAATTCCATTATACATTCATATGCAATATATACATTATATATATATATGGGTATATATAAAACACACACATATATCTGTATCTATATATACTATTTCTTGATTTGTTGCTCTATTGCAAGGCATGTGGAGGTTTTCCATAACCTGACTATGGTGAATACTGCAACAATGAACAAGGGTGTGCAAGTATTGACACTGTATAGTGACTTACATTGTTTTGGATAAATGTCCAAAAGTGGCATCACTGGATCATAGCATAGTTCTATGTTAAGGCTGTTGAGGCATCTCCAAAATGATGTCCATAATGACTGAAATGTTTACATTCCCAAAAGCATTTATTATGGTTCAGTTTCCTGACATTCCTGCAAACGTCTGGTGTTGCTCATGTTCTTGACGATAGTCATTCTTACTAAAGTGAGATGGAATCTCAGTGTTTTTTGATTTACATTTCCTTCATTGCCTGAGATAATTAGCATTTTTTCATGTGTTGATTTCCCATTTTTACTTCTTCTTATCAGAACTTTCTATTTAGTTCTGGGTTATTGAGACCTTGAGAGCTTAGTTTTCTGAGCTCCTTGGATATTCTAGATATTAGGCCCTAGTCAAAGAACTGGCAAAGATCTTATCCAATTGCGTTAGGTGCCTTTTTAATAACTCAGTCTCCCACTGTGCCAAAGCTTTTTTCCTTAATGTAATTTCATTTAAAAATTCTCTATCCTAATTTCGGAGCCCCTGAAATTCTATTTAGAATGTTCCTTCCCACTCCTTCCTGTAGTAGTTTTGAGGTTTGGGGTCTTGCATTTAAGTTCTTTTTTCCATTTTGAATTGATATTAGTAGCTAGAGTACCATAGGGGTGTCTAGTAATGGTGATAAATGTGCTTGAGGTTTGGGGGGGAGTGTTCTGGAGCTTGAACTCAAGGCCTGAGGCTGTCTCTGAGCTTTTTTTGTGCTTAAGGCTAGCAATCTATCATGTGAGCTGTAACTCCACTTCTGGATTGGTATCTTTTTGTAGATAAGAGCCTCAGATTTTCCTGATGAGTCTTGCTTTGAACCTTGATCCTCTGATCACATCCTCCTGAGTATCTAGGATCATAGGCATTAATTTCATTGAAATTTTATATAATTGAATAGATAATTATGACCTGTAGGGAGCTGTCATGAGTGGCTTATAGCACATCTTTAGTCTTCATCTTCTTTCTCCATATATCCATGTGATCCTGACGCAGAAGTCAACCTATCTACCATAAACAGAAACACAGTTGCTATAGCCCTTTTTAGCTCATTGCTTGGATTAAAATAAACATCCTGGTTCCCTAACATTATCTTTCATTTAAACCTCAAGTCTTTTGCCATAAAAGTACATTTCCGGACTGAGACAATCACCATCAACTTTGGGTATGTTTGACCAGTGCAGCAATCTTAGTCTACTAACAATTCTGCTCTTCTCTCCAGTATGAAACTATTTCTTTGTAGGAGGAGAGCTTTTATTTCATGGGAGTAACTGTTTAGTAAGCTTTTGGAAATGTTCAATTCATAAAAGAGGTAAGAAATGGTTGAATGGCTGTATGTATATATGTGTTTATATAGTTATCTATTTTTCAGTATTTAAAAACCAACCAAATTTTAAGACACACGAAAGATAAGAGCAGACAGGTAAAGGAAATAATATACTAAATTAGCGAAATATTCTGAAAAAAGAAAGGACAAAGCTGGACACAGGTGGCTTATGCCTGAAATCTTAGCTATACAGGAGGCTGAAATCTGAGCATCATGATTCAAAGCCAGCCCATGAAAGAAAGAACATGCTCTTATTAAAAAAATAAGTTTTTATTGTGAAAATACTGTACAGAGAGGTTATAGTTACATGAGCAAGGTAATGAGTACATTTCTTATCAAGCATTGTTGCCTCCTCCTTTGTTTTTCCCCTACTTTCCCTTCCTTCCCACTTCAACTGCAATCCCCCTACCCCCTTTCCCCCCCCACCTAAATTGTCTCCCATCCAAGCACTAACCAGGCCCGACCCTGCTTAGCTTCCGAGGTCAGACGAGATCGGGCACGTTCAGGGTGGTATGGCCGTAGACGCCCCCCCCCCCCACCTAAATTGTAAAGTTTGTTTTTCAACATAGTGTCCTGTACATCTCATTGTTACAATGGGTCAACCTGTATCCCTATTTAAACATTTTGTTTTTCCCTTCCTCTCCACAAATTATACCAATATCAAATACAGTGAAAACAGGGGTTATACCATGGGAGAGGGACATAGAAGCAGCAAAAAATCACATGATACCTTATAAGTGCATAAGAAACACTAGCAAGAAAGAAAAAAACCACTTGTGTCCCTATCTTGGGTTTCATTTTGCTTAACATCATCTTATCTGACCTTTTCTGCTTGTCCCAGACATATATTGGTTATTGAAAATAAGGGAAACCATGAAACCTATGTTTCTGTGGGCCTGGCTTACTTCACTTAATATAATTTTTTCCAAGTCTTCCCATTTCCTAACAAATAGGGAGATGTCGTTCTTTCTGATGGAGACATAGAATTCCATTGAATATACACACACACACATACACACATATCACATTTTCTTGATCCATTTATCTACTGAGGGGAATCTACTTGGTTCCATATCTTAGCTATGGTAAATAATGCTGCAATAAACATAGTGGTGCTGGTAGCTTTAGTATGGTCTTGTTTGTGATCATTTGGGTAAATGCCCCAAAGTAGGATTGCTGGGTCATAGGGGAGCTCGATGTGGAGTCTTTTGAGGAACCTCCATACTGCTTTCCAAAGTGGTTGAACAAGTTTATATTCCCACCAACAATGCAGTAGGGTTCACTTTTGGCCGCATCCCCTCCAGCATCTGTTGTTATTAGAGTTCTTGATTAAAGCCATTCTAACTGAGATGAGGTGGTATCTCAATGTTGTTTTGATTTGCATTTCTTTTTTGGCTAGGGAAGCTGAGCATTTCTTCATGTGTCTATTGGCCATCCTTCTTTCCTTTTCAGAGAAGTTTCTCTTTAAGTGTTTAGCCCACTTATTTATTGGGCAGTTGTTTCTTT